AGTTGTTACACAATAAAAATTGCACTACTTACAAACTTCTTCCAGTTTGTATCTTTTCATATTGTCTACTTATGTAATATAATCGCATGTGTAATTATTAAATAGGAATTAATAATTAACCAGTTTTTCTGGTTGCAACCCGAGTAAAGCTTCGCGATGACTAAAATTCCGACTGTTATCGCGAATAATCCTGGAAAATGTATTTTTCCGATTGAATCCGGCCGAGCGGTGGGAAGGCATTCGTCGCGAGCGATTAAATTTTCAGCTCGTCGCGTCGACCCGCGGGATGCAAATTGAAATTATCTGGTCTCGCAGAATGAGAAGAGGATGAACCACTCGAGGCACGGCCACGAGTTACCTCGTTCCGCGAGTCTTTCGGTTGATGAAACGCCTCTTGTACGGGAAAAACGCCAAGCTTTTACGAATTTACATATTAACGCTACCTCTGTAGTTGAAACTTCAGAATTCTCCTCCGGGCTTCGACGAAAATTAACCATATCGTTAAATGGCATGACTAGCGAAATTCAAATATGATTAGTTTAATTCTTCGGACATTTTATAAACTTTCTTCTAAAAGCCACATAATTATATATTTGCAAGACTAGACAGTATTTTTAATTATCCTTGATATGAAATCCTGGAAGACAATAAATTTGCGAGTGATTATTTATTCATACGAGAATCTCAAAATAATTCATGTTCGCTTTAACCATCCTTGATATAAAATTCAGTAAGACAAACGACAGAATATCTCTCGAAATCGTTTTAAAAAGCCACGCTTTTATAAGATTTAATAGAATTTATATATTTATAAGAGGTTGGTAGTGTTTTTAATTATCTTTGATACGAAATTCTGAAAGACAGATTTGCGAATGATTATTTAACCATGCGAAGATCTAAAAATAATTCATGTTCGTTTTAACCATCCTTGATACGAAATTCAGCGAGACAAAAGACAGAACATCTCTCGACGCCCGAAAGGTACACGTGCATTTTCTAACAAATCGTGCAACCTATTAAACGTGACAGATATGAAAATTGCGGGGCGAGCGACGACCTGGAAAAAGATCCTACATAGACACGCGCGTCCGCATACACGTGTACAGTTAGAATTCGATACGTGTCGCCGCGGCGTTAAACGAGTTCCGCACCGCATTTCGCGGAGATCTCTGCGACCGCAATAAATCCGGGCGTCGCGTCGTTGCACGCGGATCCACGCGATGCGCCAAGTAACCAGAACTCTGATGCTTCGTTGAGAAAGTTATTCAAGCGAGTTTTTAACGTTTCGAGTTATATCTCTGTTCTCTGCGATTTAATCCCTTTCAAAGAATATTGCTACCAATAAGATTGAGTGTCTCTCAGATAAGAAAAATTATCAATTTCGCGGAATATTGAAAATTATTGATATTTTATCATCGTTTTTACCATATCGCTATTACTATCTTTTTTAAATCTTTTAAATGTCGAAATTATTATTATTATTATACCAAATCTTAGGCAATAGGCTGGTATTCAGAGTCATTACTTATATTTAAGATCGCCTTAAGCATTTGCTTAAGTCTCTGTTTCCTGTACAAGACAGGGACTGGAAATATGGGATAGACAGGGATAGCAAATGCTTAAGATGATCTTAAGAATAAACAACGACTCTGAATACCGGCTATAGACTTGATTAAAAAAGTAAAAATATTATAGGGTGCAGAGAAGATTTTGCTTGCGACGACAATGTGTCTATGAATAGCCAAAGTTTAGAAACTGAAGCACATGTTAAATCTATCAGGTGTGCATTCCATCCCCGGATAATCTTCAAAGTTTCCTATAATATTATTAAATTCTGTTCCATAACTAAATATGACGATAGGGTCACTAGTGATGATCATATCTCTGTTGTAAAATATAATTCCATCGTATTAAAACACATTATGAACTGAATGGTGGAATGAAATGGTAAAAGGGAAATGGTAATCGTTTACTTGTGACAAAAACAATGATGAATGCGAGTTTTTAGATTTGCTTTTTCTATACGTTGAACAAGTGTTTTAATTGAGTCTAATAAGATAAGATAATTTGAAAGAACTTGGCTACATTTAATGGCTCTATTACTTTCCTTATGTTGTTGAATTTTTTAAATCTGTTGTGTAGGAAAAAGAAATACTAAGCCATTTTATTATCCTCATTCAGAGTTTCAGTTTATGTTTGAAACAGTATTAAATAAGAAAGTATAACTCAAACTTGCGCCAAACTTTGCCTTTGTATTAAAATTTCGATAGACATAGAAATGTACATTTATAAAGTGTAGAATAGAAATCGTGTGAGAAGTTGGATTCTATCGAAATGAAAGGACAGAATTAATGTGCGCGAGGATAGAAGTTGAAGCGGATGCTAAACGCGAGATAGAGAAAGGATTAAGAGAGACGCGCGTCCTTGTTGCGAAGGACCGTATCGCCGGCTCGTACGCGTCTCCTACGTAAAAGAGGATAGGCGGTTGGTGCATCGCATCGGAAAATCAATGCAGCGGGACCAGCAGGGGCTTTAATCCGACCGGTCATCGACGTTTGATCCATTTTTCTCCAGGAGCAACTAGCTACGAAATAAAATCCCCCCACCTTCCCTCTGCTCTCCCGTTCTGGTCCGCGCCTCGTCCTCGTTACGTTCACCCTTCGACCTGGCTGGCAACCCTTCCCCCTGACCTACGCCCTACATCCGCCCCGGTGTCCCGGTTTCTTCGTTGTCCCGAAAACTGTTACGCCGGGACCGAGAATCGTGGATGGAAAATATGCTCTTTAATGTCTATCCGCCGTTTGCCCCTTCCGTTCCCGCGTTTGTTCCTCAGTCGTTGCATTAATGGACTTTTCATTCGCCGTAAACAGGTCGGAGGTTTTAGGGAAAATCAATGTCTACTGGTGTAGTTTTTTAAAACGAATTTATTGCAAATATTACTGTTTTCTACATTAGTAGGATGTTCGTCAGTTTTGCTAAATAATAGTAATAAAGTAGTATAAATAAATACAGTTACTGATACATCTTGCTATTACGTTTGTTTAACTGATTTCCGACGATTGAATAACCATGGAACGTTTTTTGCCTCGCAGGTATGTTCACCGTCGTGGATAGAGTTCCAAAGTTCCAATACAGTCTGGCTCAGTGGAAGATCGTCGTGACGCATTATGGTGGATTAGCCGGCCTAGCCTTCGTCGGAGTTCTCCTGGCCGCGATTTTACCCTGCGTTGGCCTCTTCTTCTGCTGCTGCCGATGCGCCGGCCACTGCGGCGCCAGAAGCCAACCGTTTGACAAAAAGCACGATCACTGCCGGAAAGTGATACTAAGCATGGTGCTGATCGCCGTCGCCACTATTATACTGTAAGTGAATTTCAGTCTCCGCTTTAGAGTTCTAATTAATGAAACACTGTGGCATATTGCGTTTGATAAAATGGGGAAAATGATAAACTTTCTGATAAAGTTCCTTTGATGCAATTGTTTGAGAACTGATAAGGTTTACCGATAGTAAATGATTGCAATGGGAGAATACGAGGTCAGCTCGTTTTTAATAAATTCGATGCAAGAGTTAATTTTAAAGAAAGGACTGCAAGCAGAGGAGGTCAAAGCATTGAAAAAAATCTCTTCTCAGCGTTCGACCCAAATACTTCCCTAATTAATTTCTCTCTACTTGAAGTATCAATATCAATCGTGGGGCGATGCTGCGCTCAAAGGCTCTGTATCGATAAATATAAATAATGCTCGAGCAGGGCTCTTGCGATTCATTTGTTTTCCTGCAAGTAGAATTGCAAAACGCGGTTTGCAGATTTGGCGTGGTCTGCGCGTTCGTCACGAACGAGTATATGCAAGACGGGACCAAAGACCTGCCCAACAACGTTAAGGCCAGTCTGAACGACGTGAAACTTTACTTAAACACGACCAAGTCCGAGATCCTGGCCCTCCTCCAGACGAACTTTGACGAGCTCGAGATCAACCTGAACAACATTCTTCAGGCGAGCGGCAGGAGCGTCACCGAGCAGCTCGCGGTTTATTCGCATGCGGTTTCGTTGACCAATCTAAGCGACATCGTGACCGGATTGAAGTCCGTCCAGGAAGATCTCAAGACCATGCACACGATCACCAGGGAATTGAGGACGAACGCTAGCATATTGGAAATCAGTATGTATTATTTTTCATGAACCGCGGTTGAATAAAATATAGAAACGAACATGAGATTGTTGTTGCAAATAACAGTTTAGCTGTTCATTCGACTAAACGAAGCACGCTCAAATTAACGGAAATTAAATTTCAATGAGTAATGCAACTTTGATTAATTGGGGAGATCCCTTAGTCTTAGAAGAGTCGTAATTCTTTTTTTCAGACATACGGAAAATTAAGCTGAATCTTATGATTGTGCTGAACGATTGTAGCGCTCATAATCAACGCTGCAAACAGGTGCAGAACGAGTACGTGAATCAGATGATGATGCAAGTTGAGTTCGACAAGGTACCACGACCACGTTGCTTTGCTTTCGCTTCACTCGTATACGTCCTCACTGATCTAATCTTCTTTTTAATTTACACGCATGCAGTACATGGATCGATACTTCCCGAAGGTATGATTTTATCTCATCAACTTTTTAAACGAAACAATGAGAAATATATAATGATATCGTACACTATTCCTCGGTTTTTCTCACGTCGAAACAATGATAACTTTGTTTCTGCTTCGATTATTACTATAGACGTTTTTCGTTTCAATTTCTCTTTTACTTTTGCCCTCGAACGGTATTGCTTCTTCTGCTTAATTTGTGAATTAAAAAGAAGATGAATTTCATTTGCTTGTGTTCTCGTGAACATGTAGTAGACCAATGGATATTTTGTAGCGAGCAGTTTTCGTTGTGCTAGAATAACAATCTTAAATACAAAAATATATTACAACTATAATAATTTGTTTTTTTGACCCTTTCGCTATGAGTACAGTTGCTGATCATTTTACTGTATATCTTCTGCTTCTGTCTTCATTCACACGAGTCATACCACGGTCTCTTCTACATGTTAACGATTTCTCATAGCTGAAACGACGCTGGTAACGAAAGGGTTAATCTTTATGGATGATCAGCCATTGGTTTACGCGTAGAATCATTGTGTAAACTTATCTGATTCCATGCTTACCACAAAAATAAAATAGCTTCAGTCTGTAAGTCATAAGTTAAGGCATGTGAACTTTCGATTCTGTGTATAAAAATTTCATATATGTATGTCTGTGTGTCGTTCATTGGATACCTCGATTAACGTTTAGAAATCACCGTCTGCTCTGTTAACCTCCACCGTAAATCGACGAGACGAAAGAACAGTACATACAATTTATTTTTCATTTGTTTAGGGACGATACGTAGCGGGTGAGCCGCGAGAACTTTTCATATGAATCACGTGTACTTACGTACTCTACTTACTTACTTACTTACTTACTTACCTTGCACAGTTTTCTCTTCTGCGAATTGAAACTTGTCAAACACGTCTTAGAGACATACTTTGCGTTCTCGACCGGCAAGCACTCTATGCATTCTATCAGTCTGCGATGAACAGCTTTACTTCGAGACTTCACACGTTACGTTTCATATGCACTTCTCATTTACATACATACGTACATACATACATACGTACATACGTACACGTAATCGTTTCTCTCTAGCCCATTGACACACGTCTCGTTTACATGTTCATTTAGAAAGACACCAGCATGACACTATGCTCTAGAGATAGGTCGATTCGTCAACGCTTGAAACTCGGATCCGATACTTAGCGAATTGTAAAACCACATGAAGGTAGAATTAAGAGGCGTTTTCGAGTTTCGAGGGGTTTCTCATTTTTCATATTTCATTCATTAACTCTACGTTCCTCTCATTCGGTGTTTCACCAAGTCGTAGTTGTCACGCTCTTACCTGTGACGGATAATACGCCAGTTCTCGTCGGGAACGTCGAAATTCGATCGTTGGAATTCTCTTACAGCTGCCGAACGTCACGTCCGCGTTGGACAACATCTCGAACCTGATGAAGGACAACATCGTGTCGGAGGTCGGCAAGGGCAAGGAAGAGTTCCAGAAGATACAGGACGACATCCAGCACGCCGTAAATCAGACCATACCCGTAGTCAGCGCGAGCATAAGGAACGTGGGCCACTTCCTGATCCAGCAGGCTCAGAGCATGATGATGCTCGTCGATAGAATAAACGGCGACATCGACAAATTGATAAAACACTTGAACGTCGCTCAAACGCACATTGATCAATATTCGCCATACAGGTAAGAGGATACTCTAAGTTTAACCGAGGTACAGACATATTGCTTTAAATTCAAGATCCAAGAATTAATTCCGTTACGGACATTCTATTCTAGGTACTACTTGGGCCTTGGAATATCAGCGATACTACTGATCGTTTTGATGTGTCTAACATTCGGTTTGTTCTGTGGCATTTGCGGAAAACGTCCCGATGGATACGGAGATGATTGCTGTAACAAAGGATCCGGGGCACGGTTCCTCATGATGTGAGCGATTTAACAACCATGATTGTAATAGCTGTGAGGTACACAGAACGTGTGGATGCTATTCTATCTCGTGGAATTTGTGCAGGGCTGTTTGGATCATCTTCCTCTTAACGAGTGTCCTGATGGTGATCACCGTCGTTCACATGGTTACCGGTGTTCTGGTTCAGAGGGCCATCTGCGAGCCGCTGAAGAATCCGCAAGATAACAGGATGTTTGCATTGGTCGACGAGGTTGTACAAGTCAAACAGCTGTTGTATCCAAACAATTCCAAAGCGGACATCAACATGAGTTACATAGTCACGTAAGTGTTTTACTCTATTGATAATAATATAATAAATTTCCATTTGAGTTCCTATAATTGGCGAAGAATATCATTAGGTTCAGACTTTCTATAAATACGTATCATTTATTCACGACAGAGAATGTCACTGGAACAGAACGCTGTATGAAGTTCTGAAACTGAAGTATTTGTTCGACGTGACCTCGTTGCACGATTACCGCGGCCGCTACGATATCAATGATACCATTCAACAACTGCAACGGAAAATCAGTTTGTCGCCGGGTGTGATAATCCTCACGGATACCGCCAAGAAGAAATTGAACGAGCTCGCTGAGAGCGGCTTGAGCGACATCAAGTTCTATCAATACATAGACGTTCTCAAGGACAACATCACGAACATTAATTTAGAACACCTGGCGAAACAATTGAGGGACATAGCGACTGAATTGCCTACAGGCGATATACAGGACAGATTAAACGAGAGTTCGATGAATCTCGAGAGCTATCATAGAGATCTGATCAGGCCTATGACGATGCTTAGCGAGCAATTAGTGACGAAGGCCGAGGCGCTAGAGGAGAAGATCAAGTTTAATCATACTTCAATGGCTGAGGCTATCCACCATCTCGTCGAAGAAGTGACGAAGGCGCAGGACATTCTGAACACCGACGGGCCGGAATACGTAAAAGAAGTGAGTCGCGATTTTTCCCGTAACTCTTATTCGTCAATTTCATTTCTTCAAGCTAATCAGTTTCTCGCGTATTGATTCTAGCTGGCGACCAACTTTGGAAACGCTTTCCTTCTTCAAGTCGACGGCTACCTTGAGCGTGTCACCGACAGTGCGTTGCACACGGTTGGTCGATGTGGTCCTGTGTCGAACGCGTATAATGCAACGCTCGTCGCTGGTTGCAACAGGATTCTAGATCCGTTTGTAAGTGTGTTGATTAATAAAATAACCAAATCGAATTTGAATGTTCTTCTGCAATCTGTTTTATTTACTGTTCTGTTTGCAGAACGGCTTCTGGGCGAGCGTCGGCTGGTGCTTGGTCCTCTTCATCCCGACTATAATCTTGTGCGTGAAACTGAGTGCTCTCTACCAGAAATCGGATCCTTACCCGGGGCCTCTAGTCGAAGCGTAAGTTCCTTTCTTCAATTTTCACTCGAATTGAACCGAACCAAACGCTACTAGGTGTTTCCAAACATTATACGATTAGATTTATCGACGCATGCCAATTGGAAAATACCGAGTGTTACCTTTGTTGTTAAATCAGGATTATTTAGTGTCCCTTAAGACGGCGAGGTTGCACCGACTTTTGAAATCTGTTTGAAAAATATGAATTTTTAAATAACTAAACAACTTTTCAATGATTCATAATTTTTTATAGAGAATTTAATCATAGAACGATTCAATTAGAACGAACGATGCTTATATAAATTTGAATTTCGCCTAACATAGAAACGTTTGAAAACAAATGATAACATTAATAGCTTCAGTAATCTTCGCAAATTTTCTGGCCAAGCACCCTCTTACTTACGTAGAAACTGTTTTTAAATCTCTTCTATCGGCCTGGTAGTTAAATCGAGCTTTTCCAATTTTATTATTATTATTATTACTATCCACCGCATGCATCCAATTCGCGCTTGCAGTCTTCTCGTTGTACTAGTCGGCATGGATCATCTTATTATTATTATTATTACATTCGCCGTCTCTAACAATGGAATATACCGAAGTCTCATCCTCCGATTTTTATCAAATTTGCCAGAGACGTAGTTGTCAAAAAAATGTAAAATATTTTTATGAGAATTACGTTTATGCTAAATTTCATTGAAATCGGAGGATGACATTTCGGTATGTTCCCTTGGAAGAGACGTTGCAAATTGTCTGAATAAATCTCATCAGTAATTGGGTAACGCCCCGTGTTCATTGCTTATTCTCTCGTTGTGTCCATGTGCTCTTGACTAATCATTTGATCGTGCCGATCGTACGCATTCTTTTTGTTTCTGGTAAAGCGAATAAAACGAGGCTTTCTGAAAGAGGGAAGAATAATAACTACTACGCCTTTGAAAGTATCCTTCGTGACCGGAATTCTTTAATCTCTGATACAAACTGAATCTTCTAATTTTAATTCTTTATACGATGTACTAATTTTAGATCGTGAAATTGAATGAGAGATTTTTGAGCTTCTTTAAATGGTCATTGAATTCCTGTTCACATCTGAGCCAGTAGTTTATGATTAAGTTGAAAAGAAAAAGAAATAGTAGCTGTCTAATGTGTGGAATGGTTGTTGGAATCTAACTGCTAACACGCTCCGTTCCAGCGAATATTTGTATGACGCGTACGCAGACAGGGATAACATACCCCTTACTCAGTAAGTATATTACAACCAGCCAAATTGCTCGCATGCCGAAACTAGACGAGTTATATTGTTGAACATGTCGCATGCTCGTGTACCCGTTAAGTGAAACACGATTTTAATAGCTTGCCTCACCATCCGATTATACTCTTCGTACCCTGAATATGTTTTTCCACGATCATAAACACGGTTACTGTTAGCTACAAGATAATGCGTAGAGTGATTTGGTTCACGAAACCATCGCCTCCCTCCGTCTGCTTGAAACATCCCTTAGGATTAAAATTAATCATCCTAAAATGATATATTGTGAAATCCAAATTGTGCAACTTGTCTGATAAGAAGTTGGCGTAGTGAGTAGCATCGTGTGATTTACGTAATTTAAAGCTTTTATTATTTAGGCGAAAGATTTAGAAGTTCATTTTTTTTTGCTATTTGATATTTGTCCCGACGCCTTCTGGATTTAAACAGTCTGTGGTCTTTTATCGGAAAATAGAATTACATGCTCACAGTCTAAATCCAATTATTGTTTGTGAAATAAATTGAATAAAATTAAAATCTCTGCCCAGAAGGTGTTCAACTTTCAGTACCTTACTAACGCTCGTGTGTACTACATTTTCCTAGCGCTTTCGACTAGCAATCGCACTGACAAGAATTCGTATAGTACATCGAGCCGGATTCGTCAGATCGAATTTATACATGTACGTCTGAAAAGAAAATTTAATATATTTTCTTGGATTTATACATATAGAACTGCCAGTCTGTTTAAAAAGGATAAATCAGTTTCATCTTATTTTTATCAGTGATTCCATATAAACGTCATGATTATTATTATTATCATAAATCAGTCATGATTCTATATAAAAGAAATAAGATGGAAACGTAGAATAGAATTTCTTCATATGTACATTGAATAATTATATAAGGGAACCTATTGAAAAGTTAATCTCTTTATCTTATAAATAATTCGTACTCCAGTATTTATTATAATTGATTGTTTTTCGGGCTAAACAAAGCTTTCACGGGTTAATGCAAGATAAACAAGTATGTTCTTTATCTTTCTTCAGTATATAATCACATTTTATTTATCAACCTACGTGAGATTTAATCGAGCGTTTAATTTATGTTATTTTCATGATCCCTCTTTTTCTTTCCCTTTTAATTCCTTATGTACCGTTCTTAATCAGTATAAGACATGTTCCTCTCCTTTCTCTTCTAATATTTCCATAATAGAGCATTCCCTTAATAAGCCATGGCAGTCCTCTAACGAGAATTTCAACGTTTCCCACTCTCTTTCATATACACCATACTATACTATACACATCCTTTCATGCATCCTTTCATTATTGACTAGCCAGTAGCCAGTTTCAAACTACCAAATTTAGCTCTCGCTTATTAATAGTTTATGGCTATCTCCTTTACGTAATAACTTCTATTCATTTATATGGCATTATATATGGCAACGTGTCTCATTCTCAATATTCATTGAGTTATTAAAATATTTAGCAGCCTCGAAATGGAATTTTCTACTCTTCTCTTTTACATGAGTTACGGTCTTATATCTATGAAAATTATTGATTAACAGTTTGATACGTTCCTTCATCAGCGAATGCTAGTCGGTCGTCGCCACACAGATGTTAATTATTCGTAACACGTACAGAAAAAGAGCGAGAGGCGAACAGCTTATGTTAGAGGACACAGCATACATATACTTACACGACCACATTGACTACTATTCTCTAACTCGCATGAGACGACCGCGCGGAACTATGATTAACCGGTCTGAAACCGTGCGATTCTGCTTTTTGCAGCGTGCACGACAAGAAATACGTGTCACACAGCAGAGACCCGTACGCGAAGTACGAGAGCTACGACGGCCCGGCCGGCGGCTACAGCGAACGGGAACGAGTACCGGAAGCGCATCAGAGTACGTCCCACTACCATCACTATTCCAGATATTCCGACGTAGCGCCGAAGTAAGTGTCCAAACGAATCGTTACGAAACAGAGATTCTTCGGTGGTTTTTCAAAGCGACAGGATCATTCGTTAAGATCTGATTGAAGATCTGATAATCGATTTTGGGTAGAAACTCTTGAAATTCGATTGCAATAGTCTTGTACAAATCAGCTTTTCAGTAAAGCAGTTCGACCTTAAAATTGACAAGTTAATTGAATTTTGTTTTATACAAAAATTGATAAACCATCAAAGCATATTATAATATTTTTGAAGGGTGGGAGAAACACCTGAATCAAGAATCATGCTGTCGCTCGAAAGATTTCTTTTCTTTCCACTCATTTCACTTGAATCGTCACCTTCTTTCTATTCTTTAAAGAAGATTATATTTTTTTTAAGGAAAGAAAAAAATAGTTAACGTAAAATAGATCTTTGACCTAGCGAAGCGTAGTTATAGAATGACTTCTCTCGGGAGTTGTTTCCCGCGGGTCACTGTGTTAGCAAAAATGAAGGGGAATTCATATTTGGACGATTTTTACTTGCCCCTCCTTTTAATTTTACTCTCCCCCGCCCCCGACCGGCACAACTAGTTCACCTCTAATTTATTTTGCAGTTCCACCCCCACGTGGCGAAGCCACGAAATTACCGCCCCCTCCAAAACAGAACCTCAAAGTAAAGTCTTTAGCATATCGGTAGACACGCAGTAAGTTTTCGATTAAATCCATTCCATTCGGAGCGACGAAACTTTCAAATGAAAATTCTGAATACTCATCGCTTTCTGTGACACGTTACGCAAATTTTTCTCTTTCTTTTTTTTTTCCTCTTCTTTTTACCGTGATATTTTGTTTCACTCTGGGATGTACATTTTCATTTTTCGTTACCACCACTATCACTCTGTCTATCTCTCTTTCTGTCTATTTCCCTTCATCGGTGAGCAGGGTTCCCACTCATCGTTTCGTTTCTCCGATTCTTTCGAACGCTCGACTTAATACAAGATGGGATCAAGTTCCGATTAAAAAAAAGTACTTGCACGATACTCGATGGATGTAACAAGTTTTAAAGGACTCTGGTTGAACAAGCTCGTGGGTCTCATTGTTAGAAAATACTCGAAGAAGTATAGAGAACGGTCTCAGTGAGATAATTACAGGTAATTGTCTGCTACTCCTGGCGATGGGAACTGATAAATAATTCCGGGGGTAGTATTTTGTTATTAAGTCGTATGAAAGATATTATAGACTGCATGATTCACCCTGTGTATTTATTGTTAATATTGTCCGTAAAATTCCAAGATTTCGAGTAAAACTACAAACAGCTGAAAGCTTATTTTAACACTAGAACTCCTTTGAAATTAACTTCATTCTCTCAGTGAATGAAACCTAAGGATGTATTGGCTATATAGTCAATACCAAAAGTTTATGTACCTTAGAAAAACGCATTTCCTATAATTAAAAATAGTGCATTTTTCTTCTAATTTCGATATTTAATGAGTTACGTATGATTATTTGGCATTTTATTGATGTTGACAAAATCCGATCATCCGACCGTCGAAATGGCGAACTTTTGGAAAAAAATTTCGTTTTTCCTCAATAACTTCGAAACCCTTGGAGATACGGAAAAATTGCATAGAACCTTTTTTATAGAGGACGACGAGATCTACAATTTCTGTATAAAAGTTTTTCGCTAGCATTAATAGTTTACGAG